GGGCCACAGCAGAGAGCTGGACTGGAAGAGGAGTAACTGGGACTAGAACCCAGTGCCCATATGGGATGCTGGTGCCGCAGGCGGAGGATTAGCCTATTGAGCCACAGCACCGGCCCCAATTTTTTTTTTTTTTTTTTTGACAGGCAGAGTGGACAGTGAGAGAGAGAGGCAGAGAGAAAGGTCTTCCTTTGCCGTTGGTTCACCCTCCAATGGCCGCCGCGGCCGGCACGCTGCGGCCGGCGCACCGGGCTGATCCGATGGCAGGAGCCAGGTGCTTTTCCTGGTCTCCCATGGGGTGCAGGGCCCAAGCACCTGGGCCATCCTCCACTGCACTCCCTGGCCACAGCAGAGAGCTGGCCTGGAAGAGGGGCAACCGGGACAGAATCCGGCGCCCCAACCAGGACTAGAACCCCGTGTGCCGGCACCGCTAGGCGGAGGATTAGCCTAGTGAGCCGCGGCGCCGGCCCAATTTTTTTTTAATTAATTAATTAATTAGAGAGGCAGAGAGGAAGAGGTCAGTCTTCCATCCACTGGTTTACTCCCCAGATGGCTGCAATGGCCAGAGCTATGCCATTCTGAAGCCAGGAGCTTCTTCCGGGTCTCCCACATGGATGCAGGGGCCCAAGGACTTGGGCCATCCTTTACTGCTTTCCCAGACCATAGCAGAGAGCTGGGTCGGAAGCGGAGCAGCCAGTACTTTAACTGCCACCCAAATTGGATGTTGGTACTGCAGGCGCCGGCCCCAAAAGCATGTATTTCTGAAAACTCTGAAAGTCTTAGTTTTAGCAAACATGCATCATTTATTTGCAAAACCTTTGTCTGATGAACAGTTTGCATTATTGATTTTTTACATTTGGTTTTAAATTGAAACATACTATTTATGGATAACATCTCAATGTATGTATACAACTTGGAATGATCAGGTCACATCACCTCAATCATTTCTTATTTGTGTTGGGAATAATTTAGATCCTCTTGACTAGCCATTTTTATTGTGCTGTAGAATACTAGAATTTGTTCCTCCTGTCCAACTATTCCCTGTTCCGGTTAACCATCCTCCTCTCCTGTGCACCCTTTCCAGCCTCTCACGACTATTCTGCTCTCTACTTCTATGAAACAAACTTTTCGGCTTCTACACGTTGAGTGTGAACTTGTGCTGTTTGTCTTTCTGTGCCTGCTGTATGTCAGTGCTGCGAACGACAGGTTCTTTTTTGTGACTGAATAATATTCCTTTGTGTATACCACTTTTTTGTACACGTATTCATAGATGGATGCCTATGTTGGTTTCGTATCTTGGGAAGTGATGCTATCTGTTCAGCACACTGACTTGTTTCCTTTGGGTTAATATATCTGGTAGTAGAACTGCTAAATGGTATGATAGTTTCATTTCTAGTTTTTTGAAGAACCTCTGTGTCATTTTTACAAAATAGCTGTCTGATTTACATTTCTACCAAGAGCGTACAAGAATTTTCCTTTCTCCATGTCTTTGCCACCGGTGATTTCTTTTTGATAATAGCCATTCTAGCTGGGTTGAGGTGATTTCTCTTTGTGGTTTTAATGTGCATTCCCTTTATGACTAATGTTGAGCATTTTTTCATATACTTGTTGGCTGTGTGTCTTTTTTATTTATTTATTTGAAAGAGTTGCACAGAGAGGAGAGGCAGAGAGAGAGAGAGACAAAGATCGATCTTCCATCCACTGGTTCACTCCCCAATTGGCTGCAATGGCCAGAACCGTGCCTGTTTGGAGCCAGGAGCCCAAGCAGTTGGGCCGTCTTCTGCGGCTTCCCCAGGCTGTAGAGAGCCAGATTTGAAGTGGAACAGCTGGAATAGGAACCAGCGCCCATGTGGGTGCTGGCACTGAGGGCAGGCGGTTTTACCTGCTGGGCCACAACGCCAGCCCCTGTATGTCTTTTTTTGAGACGTGTCTAATGAGATTATTGCCCATTTTAAATTTTATTAACCCTTTGTCTGATGAACAGTTTGCAGATATTTTCTCCCCTTCTGTGGGCTGCGTCTTTGTTGACTGTTTTCCTTTGCTGTGCAGAAGCTTTTTGGGTTCATGTAACAGCATCTGTCGAGTTGTGCTTTCCTTGTCCATCCTTTTTAAAAAAAAAATCCACGTCCAAACCATTATGTCATGAAGTGCTTCCATCACATTTATTGTGGTAGTTTCATAATTTTGAGTCTCCCATTTAGCTCTTTGATTCATTTTGAATTGATTTTTGGGTATGGTGAGAGAGGGGGTAGTTTCTCTTTTGTGTATATGGATACCGCATTTTCCCACTACCATTTATTCAAGAGACTGTCCTTTATCCAGTGCACATCCTTGGTGCCTTTGTTGGAAATCAGTTGGCTGTCAATGTGTGGATTTGCTTCTGTTGTGTTCCATTGGTCCATGTGTCTGGTATTATACCATTACCATGTTGTATTGGTATGAAGTACCAAACGTGTGGTTCACTGCATATTTTAGGAATATTTTTTCCAATTCTGTGAAGAACATCATTGGTATTTGATATGGATTACATTGAATGTGTAGATTTCTTTAGGTAGATTACTGATGGGTTTTTGTTTTGTTTTTTTGTTTTTTTGTTTTTTTGACAGGCAGAGTGGACAGTGAGAGAGAGAGACAGAGAGAAAGGTCTTCCTTTGCCATTGGTTCACCCTCCAATGGCCGCCGCGGCCGGCACGCTGCGGCCAGCGCACCGCGCTGATCCGATGGCAGGAGCCAGGAGCCAGGTGCTTTTCCTGGTCTCCCATGGGGTGCAGGGCCCAAGCACCTGGGCCATCCTCCACTGCACTCCCTGGCCACAGCAGAGGGCTGGCCTGGAAGAGGGGCAACCGGGACAGAATCCGGCGCCCCGACCAGGACTAGAACCCGGTGTGCCGGCGCCGCTAGGCGGAGGATTAGCCTAGTGAGCCGCGGCGCCGGCTCTGATGGTTTTTTAATTCCTATTTCCCTTCTGCTGGCCTGTCAGAATACTTGTATATTCCTATCCTAGTTTTATCTTTTTTGTTATTTACTTAAGTGTATATTTTAAATAAAGTTTAGTTGGAGTATGTTTGCCTCCTTTCTCCCTGATAGAACTCTTAAGTTGCTGGCATCCAGAAATGAGTTACAGCTTATTAATAACCATCTCAATTCATATTTGCTCATTTTAAAATGTTTTGCTTTATTTGCTACATTTTTTTTTTTTTTTGCATCCCACTGAGTCTTTCTAGCTTTAATTCTATATGGAATTTTTTTTTTTTTAAAGATATTTAGTTATTTGAAAGGCAGTTTCACATGGAGAGTGTCTCTGCATCTGCTGGCTCACGCCCTGTACGGCCACAGTGGTTGGAGTTGGGCCTGTCTGAAGCCAGGAACTTCTTCCAGGTCTCCCACATGGATGCACGGGCCCAAGGACTTGGGCCATTAGCAGCCAGGACTCAAAAAGGTGACCATGTAGGATGCCTGTTCTACAGGTGGCAGCTTTAACTGCTGTGCCACAGTGCTGGTCCCTGGAATTTATTTATTTATTTTTTTTGACTTCTAGTTAATAATACCTAAGTTATGACACCTAGTCATAAACAAATCATTCTGGATCAGGCATTGTCAAACTGTGGCCCATTGTCCAAATAGTCTGCTGCCTTTTTTATATATGGCCGTGACCTAAGATTATGTTTTACTTTATAAAAAAAAATAGGGACCAGAGCTGTGGTATAGCGGGTAAAGCTACCACTTGCCGTGCCAGCATCCCATATGGGTGCTGGTTCGAGTCCTGGCTGCTGCACTTTAGATCCAGTTCCCTGCTGATCACCCAATTCCTTGGGCCTCTGCACACACATATGAGGCCTGGAGGAAGCTCTTGGCTCCTGGCTTCAGGTCTGCCTAGCTCCATTGCAGCCATTTGGGGAGCAAACCAATATATGGAAGATCTATCTTTCTCTAACTCTGCCTTTCAAATAAATAAGAATTTTAATATTTATTTCAAAATCAGAGTTAGGAGAGACAGATGAGCTAGGTTGAAACCAAGGGCTTCACGCAGGTCTCCCACCTGGGTGGCAGGAGCCATCGTCATTGCTTTTCCCAGGCCATTAGCAGGGAGCTGGAACACAAGCAGAACTGCAGGGACACCAGCCAGTGCCCACAGGGGATGCTGGGATCCCAAGCAGCGGCTTTACACACTGTGCCACAGCATCAGCCCTGGGTTCTACATATTTTAATGACTGGAAAAACAGTATTATGTTCTGTGAAAATTGTATGGAATTACTCAGATTTCAGTGTTAATAAATCAAGTTTTACTGTTTTTATAGATTGGCTGTGCCTGCTCTTGTGGTATGATAGCTGAATTGGTTCATTTTTTTGCCTTGAGATCTTTAGATCTTTAGATTTATTATGATGTACCTAAGTGTGGGGACTGTTTTGTATTTATTTTACTTGGAGTAAGTGGTACTTCTTGAAACTGTGGTGTGAGCTGTTTTGGAGAATTCTCATTCTCTTTAAATATCGTTATACTGCATTTTGCCATTCTTACAGCTGCAAATACATTAGACCTCTTCAGCTTGTCTCATGTGGTTTTTATGCCCTTTGATTATTTGTCCTTCGTACCTTGAGTATCTCAGCTTGCATATTTTTTTTTAGAATAACAAAAAATATTTTACTAAAACATAAGATTTACGGAAGTTTCCAGACAAGCCATACAAAATGGTCACAAGCTGTTTTGAAGGGGGGATCTACACTTGACAGCAAAGTCACAGTGTTATTAGTGAGGGCTGTGATGTTTGTTTAACGTTCCCATTTTGGCTCAAACAATCAAGCTTGTCCATCTACAGAGTCTAAATTGTTAGACTTGGCTAGAGAGCATATTCTAAAGAATTGGTTAGCTACTTTTAACCAATGCAATTAGATCACCATAAAAAGGGGGGGGGAGCCCATAAAATTAAAATAAAACGTACCTCCCCCCTCAAAAAAAATAAAATAAAATAAAAACACCCACACCCCTGCAGCTAACCCTGACAACTACCTTCTTTCACAGTGCCTTATACTTAAACCATGATAGGGGAAATGAATAAAAGCAGAGGGGCCACTGCTTTTAAACGTTTCCACAACAATCCAGATGATACTTCTAGCCTCTGTTCATGCTTTACAACAGCGAATCAGGACAAGACATAGATTTGCTAATGTGCATTTAATCACCAAAGGACTGAAGATGTCTGGACTTTTATTCTGTAATATTTCTAAGACTGTGTCCATTAAATGCAAACAAAAAGGAAGAAGTCTTGGCAGAACAGGAGAAGTGATGCGTACTTGATGATCAGATCGACTTAAATATTATTCACGGCACATAGCCTAGTCCGTGCTCTAGCTGTTTCTATGGCTTGGGCTTCGTTGGTCTTCCACTGCTCCGCTACGTCATTTGCTAATGGATCATCTGGTTTGGGAGCACTTAACAAAGCTGGATCGATGGCAGAACTGCGGATCTGCAGTGCTGGGGACCACTTATCTTTCAAAATATCTAAACATATTCTTCCCAACTTGTCTACATTAGGATGATAAATTTTGGTCATGAAACGTACTTTAGGGGCTGCCATTGGGTATTCTTCTGGAAGGAATAGTTCAAGTTTAAAAGTCCCTCCCTCAAAGGGGGAATCCTGGGGGCCAGCAATGACCACATGAAAACAGCGGGCGTTGCTCTCATCTGGTTCTGCTTTAATGCCAGGAACTGGTTCTGCCAGCAAACGCTGGGTTTCCTTGATGATCCTGCGGGGCAGCCCGGCCATCTTGTCAGATACCGAGTTCGGCCTCTAGTCTCGTCTCTGGCTCCACTCGCCTCACGCACGAGTGGAAGTCCCGGGCTCCACCAGCTTGCATATTTTCTGACATCTTCTAGTTCACTAATCATCTTTTCCACTGTGTCTAATTTGCTATTGAATCTTTTAAAAATATTTTCTGCTTTTATGGCTTAGATGCAGGGAGATCTGTAGTTGATGTCTTGTTTTATTGTTGGAAGTCTATTGTGTCCCTTATTTCAAAGCTTTAATGAATTCTTTATTCTTGTTTGGCTTCACAGAAATAGTGCCTCTAAGAGCTTCAGTACTACATTGTTCACATCAGGTTACCAGTCCTTATGATCCTGTCTCCCTGTACACATCTTGAGAGCAGAAACCTATCAAAAATGTAGAAGAATCTAAATAAATGTGGTAACCAGTTACATGTCGAGAGGCATGATAGTGAACAAAACGTACAGTTGGTGTAAATGTTTATGATGAATGACCATAACAACATGGTAGTAAATTTTCTATGTCAAACTGCTGATCGTTGCAGAGTAACGATGTACCATTTTAGGGATCAGTTTCATTCACGGATGTGACTGTGGACTTCACCCAGGAGGAGTGGGAACAACTGGACCCCGCTCAGAGGATCCTGTACATGGATGTGATGCTGGAGAACTACAGCAACTTGCTGTCAGTAGGTGAGAACCCCGTTCCAGTGTGCTTCCCTGTGAGGTTCTTGGCCTCGGTCTTCATGAGTTACAGCGTGCCTCCCAAGTCTGCTTCCTTTAGTTTCAGGCTTTCTGAAGGCTGAGCAGTTAGAATTATTATCGAATGAGGTGTGACCTTCAAATTGGAGAAGAAGAGTTACAGATAACACAGAATTGCAAGTTTGTCCATCTCTCCTTTCCTCTTAGAAGCCCCTAGAAATATTCCAGGGATTATAAACAGATTGGTACCTTCGAAATGCTTTTCAGGAAGTTATTTTTTTAATATTTATCTTATTTATTTGAAAAACAGAGTTAGAGAGGCAGGGATAGAGAGGTCTTCCATCTGCTGGTTCACTCCCCAGATGGCAGCAACGGCTGGAGCTGCGCCAATCTGAAGCCAGGAGCTTCCTCCGGGTCTCCCACGTGGGTACAGGGGCCCAAGGACTTAGACCATCTTCCACTGCTTTTCCCAGGCCACAGCAGAGAGCTGGATCAGAAGAGCAGCCAGGACTAGAACCGGCGGCCGTATGAGATGCCGGCGCTTCAGGCCAGGGCTTTAACCAGCTGTGCCACACACCAGCCCCCAAGAAGTTATTTTTGAAGTCTATTATTGGAGATAGTTGAGGTCAGATGACCTCAGATCTGTGAATCACACCTTGAAATATCAGTCTCTCCTTAACTTTTTTTTTTTTTTTTTTACTGTATCGGTAGGTTGCCTCTGATACTTACCTACCACATCCTACTACTCTTGCAGTAGTGTTCTTAGTTTTCCAGAATGGTGATGTTTGTATTTTAGCTCGTGAGAATTGGTACAGTGGCCTCAAGAAGGACAGATACTTGAATACCAAGCTGGTAGTGTTCTGGATCTCAAGAGTAAGGTGTAAGCAGTACTGTCTTAAGTGATTAAAGGCCTGGCTTGGTAAGTACTCGAGCCTTAAGATCCAAATAAAAGCAGGGACAGTACTGGTTTGGGAAAGAAGCTAAATGTTAAAAGAAAAAATGTTTGTGCTATGATTGGTGTTTGACAAAGCTATTAAGCTGCCACATGAGATGCCCGCTTTCCCCGTCCAAGAACTTGAGTTCGAGTCCCAGTTTCTATTTCAGCTTCCTGTTAATGTGCACATTGGGAGGCAGCAGATGGTTCAAGAAGTTGTGTTGCTGGTACTCCCATGGGAGACCCTGGATTGCTTTCCAGGCTTTGAACTGGCCTCACCCTGGTGGTTGCAGGCATTTGGGGAGTGAACCAGTGGATAGGAGCACTGTCTCGCTACCTTTCAAGTAAGTTAAATTTTTAAAGAAAATGAAGATGGGGGGACTGGCGTCATGGCTCAGTTAATTCTTGGCCTGCAGCGCTGGTATCCCATATGAGCACCGGATTCTAGTCCCGGCTGCTCCTCTTCCAGTCCAGCTCTCTGCTGTGGCCCGGGAGGGCAGTGGAGGATGGCCCAAGTGCTTGGGCCCTGCACCCGCACGGGAGACCAGGAGGAAGCACCTGGCTCCTGGCTTTGGATCGGCGCAGCGCGCTGGTGGTAGCAGCCATTTGGTAGGTGAACCAACGGAAGGAAGACCTCTCTCTCTCTCACTGTCTATAACTCTACCTGTCAAATAAACAATAAAAAAAGGAAAGAAAATGAAGATAGGATATGATGGTGAAAATATTCACTATCCAGCAACTTCAACAGGAAAGCGGTGTAACTGGAGTGGTTCTCCTGTGATGGTCTTGGATTTATTTTATGAACTGTGCCATCCTTGGCAAAAGATTCTTTGAGATTTAGAGCTGTGTGGAAGAATTGGCTCTGCAGCCCTGTGAGAAACGCTGCGTTGTAGATAGCTGTTCCATGCAGGTGAGCAGAGTAATAGAGGCAAAGGGGCTGGGAGCAAATGCTGGCCCCGCCCCAGGGATCTGGAGTCAGGGCGTCGTCCGCCAGACTTAGGTCTGCCTCGGCGCTTCCCCTGAACTTGCTCGCTTGGCCTTTGTGCTCCGTCCTCCCTGGAATTGCCAGCCTTCGTGTCTGATGCCCTTGGATTTCTTTTCTTTTTTTTTTTAAATAAAGATTTAATTACTTGAAAGACTTACACAGAGAGAGGAGAGGCGGGGCGTGGGGGTGGTTGTCCATCTGCTGGTTCACTCCCCAATTGGCTGCAGTGGCCGGAGCTGTGCCAGTCCAAAGCCAGGAGCTTCCTCTGGGTCTCCCACACGTGTGCAGGGGCCAAGGACCTGAGCCATCCTCTATACTGCCTTCCCAGGCCATAGCAGAGAGCTGGATCGGAAGTGGAGCAGCCAGGCTTCGAACCGGCGCCCACATGGGATGCTAGCACTGCAGGTGGCGGCCTGCCCTTGGTTTTTATCTCACTTTCTCCACCTACTTTAGGTCATTTTATCATGTCTGTTGTCATTTTCTGTCACAAGTTTTTACAGTTTTGTCTTTTTCTTTCAAACTTTGAGTTAAATCCCCAATGCAAATGTTTCCCATTGGAAAGGCAGGGGTACAGACAGACAGATTTTCAGTCCATTCCATTACGTTCCCCAAATGCCAACAACAGCTGGGACTGGGTCAGGCCAAAGCTGCAAACTGGCAACGCAAACTGTTGGGTTATTGCCTGCTGCCTACCAAGGTGCACGTTAGCCAGAGGCTTGGATTCAGAAGTGGAGGAAGTAGAGCTGGGACTCAAACCCCAGTCCTCTGCCATGGGAGGCTGGCATCCTAAGCAGATCTTGGCCCCTATACCAAACAGCTGCAGCCATGGAGATTTTTTGAGACTGGGTCCCAGACCGAAAAGCCCCGTCATAGAACATTTGTGGCGACTTCCCATTCAGTAACATTATAGTGAAAGAATTAACAAAGTGAATTTCATTTCCTCTACCCTAGAAGTCTGGAAGGCTGATGACCAGATGGAGGGCCACCCCCGCAGCCCCGAGGAGCAGGCAAGGCAGTTCATCATCCATAAGAGCCCAGTGGAGGAAAGAGGTAATCCCTTTGGAAAAACATTGAATCTGAGCACAGAGTTTGTTTCCTTAAGACAAGTGCCCTATAAATACGACTTATATGAGAAGACTTTGAAATATAATGCAGACTTACTTACTACTAATAAAAGCTATGCAAGAAAGAAAGCTGATGGCTACAATGGATTTGGAAAACCGCTGCTGTGTCTGAAGCAAGACAGAGCACACCCTGGCGTCGAGTGCTCTGAATTTCATCAAAGTGGAAAAGCTGTTGCTCATAAAGAAGGCCTTTTTAAACATCAAAAAATTAAAAATTTGGTCCAACCTTTTATTTGTAACTACTGTGACAAGGCTTTCTCCTTTAAGTCACTCCTTATCAGTCATAAGAGAATACATACTGGAGAAAAACCGTACGAGTGCAACGTGTGTAAGAAGACTTTCTCCCATAAGGCCAACCTCATCAAACATCAGAGGATTCATACTGGGGAGAAGCCCTTTGAATGCCCGGAGTGTGGAAAAGCCTTCACTCACCAGTCCAACCTCATTGTGCACCAGAGAGCACACATGGAGAAGAAGCCCTACGAGTGCAGTGACTGTGGGAAGACATTTGCCCAGAAATTTGAACTCACTACACACCAGAGAATCCACACAGGGGAGCGGCCCTATGAGTGCAATGAATGCGCGAAGACCTTCTTCAAGAAATCAAACCTCATTATACATCAGAAAATCCACACAGGGGAGAAGCGCTATGAGTGCAGTGAGTGCGGCAAGTCCTTCATCCAGAACTCGCAGCTCATCATCCACATGAGAACTCACACAGGGGAGAAGCCCTACGAATGTTCTGAGTGCGGCAAAACCTTCAGCCAAAGGTCGACGCTGAGGTTGCACCTGAGAATCCACACGGGCGAGAAGCCCTACGAGTGCTCCGAGTGTGGGAAGGCTTTCAGCAGGAAGTCCCGACTCAGCGTCCATCAGAGAGTTCATGGAACAGAGAAGCCCTAGCCTGCCACCAGGACGCTGCCGGTGGCGGCGACACCTCACGGAGGTATGAAGGAGCAAGGGAGCTCATGCTGACGCAGTCGACACGTGGGAACGTGCCAGAAGTCATCATACTGCGAGTTAGCGACGGCCCGCGGCTAAGTAAGCTTACCAGAAAATTTCCATTTGTAAATAGATGTACCCAGATGAATTGTGAATGAGTTTAATATTCTGGGCAGCATAAACAGTACCCTTGAAATTTAGTGGCTATATGTGGACTGTGTCACAATACAAAAATTATGTTTTAAATATTCACATCTGAATCTGTCACAAGAAGTTTAAAACTCTTGTCCTCTGGAAGAATTGGACACATCAGACAGGATTTTCCATGTAAATATCAGTTTAGTACCTTTCCAACCCAGTGTGCATTCCAAATGAGACGTCTGACGGGTGTTACCGCAGCACGTGGCCGGTGTTTTCTCCTAGTGCTTGCCAGTACATGCAGGTTGCACGGACACTGTTTTCAGTGGCCTCTTCACTGCAGACAGTACTAACCTCTGCCTGGGTCTGCTGAGGCGTCCAGAGTATTCTTACGCGCTGTGTAGAGGTGAGGTAGCGAAAGGAGGCAGCTGGGAACCGTGTCGCGTGTCGCTCAGCGCTCACCACAGAAAGCAGTGCCGTGTGCGCAGTGCCCTGCCCGGGGTGTTCACACAAGTGCATGTCTTTTACCAAAATACTGTCTAACCTGGATAGCGCCTGTGTTTCTGTGTGTTTCCCTGTTTCTCAGTATTTTATGAATTGTCTTGCAAAAAAGATTGTAGGGTGCTTATGTAGCTGACAAATGTTACGCTTCAGAGAGTTTAGAGGAAAAATAAAGAATTGTTTTATTGCTTTTTAAAATTTGTACTGCAAAATCCACTTTAGAAGTGAGTTTTTGGAGTATTGTTTGACATTTCTACTTGAGTTTCACTGCTGTCAACCTAAAACATTTTTTTACTACCTTTAACTCTTTATAATTGGGCTTCAATAGTCTCTCCATCTATTATTTGATTTTTAATGAAAAAATTGTCTTTATGTAACTCAAAGATAATGCCGTTTTAAACTGGATTTCAAGTTCACAGGTTCAGCCTTTTCCTATCAGTTATAAATCATGTATTAGCATTACAAATGGCAACGAAAATTGGGCTTATTTTTGAGGTTCACAGGTGGGCGGTGACTACATAGGAATGTTATTGACTGAATAATTTACAGTAATGTCCACAACGCAGTAAGTCTTTGTAAGTTGTGATTTACCCACTGACAACAAGGAAGCCAGGAAAAAAGCTAATTTAGCACACTGCTGTTGGAAGTGCACATTGTGACAGCCTCCGTGGGAAACATCCTGTCTTAACTTTAAAGAATACATACACTTTAACCCAGGAATCTGCTGGGAATCTAGTGAAGAAAAAAGTAAAGTGCCAGTACTTAATACTATATATTTATCAGTGTATAATGTAATATATTTTGAATAAGGGCCAGGGAAAAAGGGGGAAATCACCATCAATAAGAACATGAGTGAATAAATTATGATAAAAAATGTGCCATGGTTGAATGGCGTTCCATTGAAGAGACTGTGGAAGAGCGAACTCTTGCAGACCAAACAAAGAAATGAGTAAGGGAGAACTGATTTTTGTAAAATAAAGATCTAGAAACTTTAAATGTGTGTATATTTGCCTATGATTTTATGGGCTTGGGGAATGGAATTCCTTCAGTTACAACCTCTAACTTCATCAACTCTGTCAGTGAAGACCCCCATAAGAAACAACTAATTCTGTATTCTTCATTTGAAAGGACTGTTCACAGAGATGAGGGAATGAAGGGTTAAGGAACCAACAAGGCAAGGTGAGGCATACAAGAGGCCCATAGCGTTAAGATGTTTTTCCTCCCCCAGGGCCAAAGAACCAAAGTGGAAATTGAGCCTAGTGAGAGCGAAGGTCTTCCAAGAGCCCGCTAGGTGGGTGTTGCAGCTAGTGAGGTGGAGCTACTATGAGGCCAAGAACAGAAGCAGAGAAGGGAGCGGCCAAGAAAAGCCTTGCTTTTCTCTGCTGCTGTTTGGGCTCCTGGAGGTTTCAGTTGACTGAATTCACCGGAAACCCCAGCCATGCAGTCCTGCTGGGATACAGTGGAGAAGCGTGGAGAGCGCACTCAGGGCGCACAGCACACCCAGCAGATCCCGTGGCCTCAGCTCCTCTGGTCCAGCTGTAGTGAGGCCTTCCCAGGCGGCCTCTGCCCCACCTTTGCTCACCTCCAGTGGCAGCTCATCTCATTCCTCCAGATTTGCATTTGGAGGTAGGATGCCCCCACAAAACCCAGTTTCAAACAAAATATGAATATGGGAGTTACTGCATAGATAGCAGTTTAGGTCATAAAACTAGATGATACTGCCTAGAAAAGAGAATTTAAACAGTGAGCCCCAAGCATTCACCAAAATGTTTAGGAAAAATGGAGGAAACTGGCAGAGGGGACTGAGAAGGAGCAGCCAGGGTCAGGATGAAAACCAAGCAGGGTGGTTTCCTGGGAGCCAGGAGAAAAGGGTCTTCTCAGGTGGACAGTGACCACAGCAGCAGATACTGACGTGTGAGGCTGGGTGTGCACTGAGACTGACCAGCACTCAGGCCTCTGGTAGGAATCGTTTCAAGGAAATGGGGCAGATCTGGAAGAATTCAAGATCACATTGGAAGCAGGAAGTATGGATTATGGACAAGGGGCAAAGTTTCCAGAACTGGAGGGCCTAAGACTTTGCCCTGTGTGCAGACTAACAAGTCCACCTGCCCACCCCCAGGCTGGCGGCAGGAGACACATCGGGTGGACCTGGGAGGATGCCGGCGGTGCTTATTCCTCAGTAGCAGTGGTTAGACCACCATAGCAACATTTGCTCAGACCACTTCCCACAGGATCACGTGGTAACGCTACATGATGTAGGCTGCTATGTTTACAGGAGAGGACCTCTCAATGTAGGGAGAAACCAAGTCTCATCATGGGCTGCAAGTAGACCTACGAAGCCTTGTCCCAAAGAAAGCTCTCTCTGTTATGCTGGATGCTAAACAAACCTGCTTTCTGCTCTGGAGAGAGAGCTCTTTCCTAAGGCTGGTCACTATTCAGACATTTGAAAGGGTAGTCTGGAGCAAAGGCAATGAGTTAGCATGGGCAGAGACATGAAAAACCTATCGAGAAATTGTCTTCCAACAGAAATGGATGGGTAGCTTAAGATTAAGGGCTTTTTTCTTTTTATTAAAGATTCCTGTTTTTGAAAGGCAGAGACAAAGAAAAGAGAGCTCTTCCATCCACTGATTGACTCCCCAGATAGCATCTGGGTTTCCTAGATGGGTGGCCAGGACCTGAGTACTTGGGCTTTGCGGCTGCTTTCAGGTGCATTAGCAGGGAGCTGGATTAGAAGTGGAGCAGCCGGGACTCAGACGGCACCCATACGAGATGCAGGCATTGCAGGTGTTGGCTTAACTTGCTATGCCACAAGGCCAACCCCTTGTTTGCTTGGTTAAACACAAAACGTTACAAGCAAGAGACACTAGGGGAGGTGATGTGAGAGGTTTGGAGGGTTGGGGGTTTGTAAGTGGACTAAGGGAACGCATGGATGTATTAAAGGCTCACATGAGGTTAGTGGTCATCCATTTAACAGAATGGGGCTGGCGCCGTGGCATAGCAGGTTAAGCCTCCAGCTGTGGCATGAACATCCCATATGGGTGCCAGTTCGAGTCCCCGCTGCTCCACTTCTGCTCCAGCTCCCTGCTGATGTGCCTGAGAAAGCAGTCGAAGATGGCCCAAGTGCTTGGGCCCCTGAACCCATGTGAAACACCCTGAAGAATATCCTGGCTTCAGATTGGCCCAGTTCTGGCCATTGTAGCCATCTGGGGAGTGAGCCGGCAGATCGAAGATCTCTGTAGCTCCACCTCTCAAATCTTTAAAACATATATATATATATATTTAACAATACCAGCCTTAAAATTAGTTCTGTCTCCAGCGCAGAGGACTGGTTTGTTTAGTGCTCAGCATAATCAAGAGGACATCATCAGAGCATGTGGTAAAAATACAAAATACTCCACCACATTCAACAGTTAGAGCTAGCCTGGATTGGTTGGTGTGAAGGCTGTAATAACGATGTTGATGAACCATGGAATTTAAACTGGTTGTAAGAGGCAGGACTTGAGGAGGGGAATTACCCGAGGAACACTGCAAGAGGGTGGAGTAAGACTTTGCGCCTTCAGTGTTCTACAGGAACAAGGTGAACAATTGCACATGCATGAAGACACCTTCCCGAGCTAAAACCAAGTAAGCAATCGCAGCACTTGCATACAGCACAGAGACCAGACACTGGAGTGGGACTGCAGTTCTGCAGTACTCGCCTCCCTCTAACCCCAGGCACCACAACGTGGAGGTACCCTGTACAAGGAGCAAGGAGATGGGAACGGAGCACCAGACTTGCCCACTAAAACCCATTACTGGACAGACCTTCAAAGCCCCGATTCCAGGCTGGTAACCTCGGACAGCTCCTGGGCTCACCCTGGCACCAGGCTAGGTCTCAACAGGGCCAGGGCCAGGCCAGCCCGTGGCTTGCCCCACACCCACCCCAGAGTCAAGACCTCCCCTGAGAAAGGTTAGCTCCCTTGGCTTTAGGCTCTAGGCCTGGGTAGTGCCAGGCCAGCCCGTGTCACAGCACATGCCAGTCCAGTCCCAGCACGCCAGCCCGTGACAGCAGACCCTGGCACTGCACCAGTCCTCCCAAACCCAGGCCCTAGCACTGCTAAGACTGGAATAAATGCCTACTTTTTCCAACTCTTCAGGCGCCAATACACATCTACAAGGATTCAAAACAGTGATGAGGATGCCACCAACACAGAACAAAATAAAGCACCAGTAACTGACCCTAAAGAAGTGGAGACTGATGATTGGCCTTAAAAAAAGATCAAGAATAATGGTTTTGGAGTTGACACTGTGGTATAGTAGGCTAAGCATCAGCCTATTGTGCTGGAATCCCATACGGGTGCCAGAGTCCCGCTGCTTAATCTGATCCCACACCCTGCTGTGGCCCGGGAAGGCAGTGGAGGATGGCCCAAGTGCTTGGGGCCTGCACCCGCATGGGAGACCAGGAGGAAGCTCCTGACTCCTGGCTTTGGATCGGCCCAACTGTGGACACCGTGACCATTTGGGGAGTGAGTTACAGGTGGAGAACCTGTCTTGCCTTCTCTATGTAATATATGCAACTCTGCCTCTCAAGTAGATACGTCTTTTTTAAAAAAAAATTAATAATGGTTTTAAGGAAGCTCAGTGAACTTCAAGAAACATTTCAATGAAAGGAGGAAAACAAAATAAATTCATAATTGACACTGAAAAAAAGTTCTTGAGTTGAAAAATAGAATGCTTCAGTAGCAGAGCTGATGAGGCAGAATAGACGCTGAATTCAAAGACGTGAAAAAGACACGATCGGGAGAAAAATGAGCAAAAAGGGATGAAGAAAATGTATGGGCTTCGGGACATCGAACGAGCAAAATGCAAGCCACGGGAGTTAGGTGAGGCAAGATAGAAACTAACCCAAGGGGCTGGCGCTGGGGTTTGGTGGGGTAAGCCGCCATCTGCCGCACTGACATCCCAAATGGGCTCCACTTCCGATCCAGCTCCCTGCTGTGGTCTGGGAAAGCAGTGGAAGATGACCCAAGTGCTTGGGCCCCTGCACCCACGAGGGAGACCTGGATAATGCTGTCTTCAGCCTGGCCAATCCCTGGCCATTTGGGAAGTGAGCAGTGGATAGCAGATCTTTCTCTCCCTCTGTCTTCTCTATCAGATAATAAATAACATAAAAAAAAAAACACTAAATATCAAAATGAAAATTTCCCAATCTGAGAAAAGTTAAGTATCCAAGTACAGGGATGTCAGAGTTCTCTAGTCAGATGCAGGCTTCACAGGAACACAGCATAACCAGCCCGAGAGGGGATCCTAGCAGCGGGAAGAGAAGCGACACGAGTTCCAGTGAGGCTGCGGCGCGTTTCTCAGTGGGGATCCTAAGGCCGCCGGGGAGTGCGATGATTTGTTCCAAGTGAAGGAAACAAACAGCCATTCAGCATACTGTCCTGCAGAAACGGAGAGGTGGAGGAGTTCTTCACCACGCCTGTCTTTTTAGAAATGCTAAAGGAAAAGAAAAATAATATTTAATAACCCTAAAACATATCAGTGGGGCAGTCACTGTGGCACAGTGGGTTAAGCTGACACAGGAGATGCCCGTATCCATATCGGAGTGCCAGTCCTGGCTACTCCACACTTCCTGCCCCCCTGCAAATCCACCTGGGAGGCAGAAGATAATGGTTTTAAGTACTTAGTATCTCTAGCCGCCGCCGTGGCCCAATAGGCTAATCCTCCACCTAGTGGCGCCGGCACACCAGGTTCTAGCCCTGGTTGGGGCGCCAGATTCTGTCCCAGTTGCTCCTCTTCGAGGCCAGCTCTCTGCTGTGGCCAGAGAGTGCAGTGGGAGACTGGGAGAAGCACCTGGCTCCTGGCTTCAGATCAGCGCCGTGTGCCAGCCGCAGCGGCCATTGGGGGGTGAACCAACGGAAAAGGAAGACCTTTCTCTCTGTCTGTCTCACTGTCCACTCTGCCTGTTTAAAAAAAAAAAAAAAAAAAAGTACTTGGTATCTTGCCACCCATGTGGG